GGCATTTTTATCTACCTATTGAGTCCTTTCCAAGGACCTGGGATAGGCAGATGTTGTTGTTGGATGGTGTTAAAGGTATAGTCGCAGGATGTAAGCTGTTCCAAGTAAAGCTGTCTTTTGCAATTGACTGATGGTGATTTTGTCAGTGCCGATGGTCTTCAACTGGTGCTTCAGATGTTTTGGGATTGTACCACTTGTCTATTTGAATTCTAAAGTCCCAGAGCACTTTAGCTTTTTAATTTTCTATTACTTTGTTTGTTGTTGTTGTTGTTGGGCACCTTTCAGAACAAAAGCATTTCCAGGGTAGCATTTACACCTTAAAGTTTAAATATAATCTGAGGTATCATTATACATGATGACCTAAGAACATATTTTTTCCATTAACGACCAAGCTATAATTGTTCATATCCATACTCTATATCCAAACATAGCCATTCTATATCGCTCATATAGGTCTGTGTTGTGGAATTTTTGCCAAAGGCAGAAGCACAATGCTGAGGAGAAGAACCATGTTTACTGCAATGATCATTGGGTGCCTGCTTTCCAAGAAAGAGGGACCCTGAATGGCAGATATTCTTACACACTTTGGGATTGAGAGGTGGGAAGTCCTTGGGCTCTGATTGGTGGGCAATTTTGGATAGATGTTAAACAGGGGGCAAACGTTTTTCTATAGTGAAACAAAAAATGCACTTTTGTAACAAGGCAGCCAAGTCAAGGAATCCATTGTCAAGGAGAATGGAAGGTTAAGAAAAGCAGGCACTCGAGCTTAATAAGAATGGAATTCCTGTTGTTTCTCACCTGATCAACAAAGGGTTCCTCACTGAGGCTGTACCCTGGACAAATCCTTAGGCAGACAGGTGATGACCCTCTCATTGTGGCAGAGGGAAATGGAGGAAGGAATTTTCTGCAGGAGATGCTTCTATCACATCTGTAATGATATTGGATCTCTATATTCATGCTAAATAAATTTAACACATTATTGATCAGTAGCCATATCAGCAACATTTTTATGGACCGTATTCTGGAAAATTACAACTTTCTTTTGGTAAAAAAGATACTTATGAATTGTCAACTTGAATGAGTTGGCAATAAATACATGTGATTAAGTTTATTTCACAAGTAAAACCCTTATTCATTAAGTAAATCCAGTAGGAGTGGGTCTAAAAACGGACATATTCCTTGCTTTGTTTCAGGATCCCAAGGGAAATCGGATTGCTCAGTGGCTAAATCAAAGTGCTGCTTTTGGCATTCTCCAGCTTGAGTTCCTAACAGTTCAAGATGCAAACCTAGGATCCTATCAGATCATTGTTGAACATGCTCCAAACAGATACACCTATCACTGGTTCAGTTTAGAAGAGTATGGTGAGTATTTCTGTGAAATTAACCTGTATTAGAAATTTTATAAACTCTGAATTGATTTTAGAATTGATTTGGGCCCAATGAGAAATAATTCTCCTTAAATCTATTATTGTCACTATGACTCCTAATAAAATTTGTGACTACTTGGTGACTGAATAAACCTATAAATCTATGGTTACAAAAACTGAACAAGATCACATAAATTAAAATGAACCTGAGCCTGTAATACATTTTACCTGATGGTATGTGAGCTAAGACATAGCTGGACTTAGATGTCCCATGAATCTGTACAAGATAGATCACACGTGTGGGTTTCTTTTTTTCCCCATCTGATTGGGGCTCCTGATAAAGAAGGGCTCCCAGTCACATGGAGCTCCTGTGTATATACAGCTGTGCATTCAGGACTCTTGCAAACACTATTTTTAAAAAGTATAAAGAATAACTATGTACCTCTCTGCTATGCAGTTACATATTTTTTGAATAAGGCTTATTGGTGATGATAAGAGAAAGTCATTGACCACTAGAAAAACTGCTGTATCATTAACTGCCCATGTATCAAAAGTGAAGAATTGTTCTGAATATATGCATGTATACATACACAGACACACACATATATATAGTGTGTGTGAAACTGTACTGTTATTTTTCAGCCAGCTGACAGCGGAATAGCCATGCACATCTTAAGTATAGCAAGAACAATGAACCCAAAATCAATAATATAATTTGAGTTTTTAAATGTAATTTTGGTGTTTTTTATTCACAGATCCACCAAACATATCAAAATAAAATAAGAAAAAATGATACCTAATGCCCCACTTAATATAACTACTAATCAATTTCAAATTAATTTAGTTTAGCAAGGCATGTGTTCTACAAATTACAAACACAAACTTAGACCAGAAAGGCTTCATAAAAAATTCATCTGGTTGACCAGAGAATGTCCTAATGAGAGATATTAATAGCTTGCTAAAAGTATCTCTAAAATGTGGGTCAGTGATTCAATTTTCCCAGGCAGGCAGGGGCACATTCTTTCTATGGAAGGGGTTTTCTGGACCCTACATTCCAATACAGCTGGTGGCAAAGGATCAAACAGCAGTAATGTGAAAGCCCAACAAAATGTTTTAACTGTAGCAGTTCAGGCTACAGGGCCAATTTAAAATGGATCATAGGTCCCACTTGTATTCAGGTTGCTATTTTACTGCATCTATTTTGCAATTCTGCATCTAGGGTCCTTTGTTTAAGAACTGTAATGGTTTGTTTTTGTTGCCAAGTCAGCAGCACCTCTGATGTAAATCACAAATGCTGAAGTTTGGCTCCAGTTTGCTTTTCCAGGGGGAATGGTGTTTATCTAGCAAATAAGTGACATCAAGCCTTGAGGGTGGAGCTTTTGGGTACTATTTAAAAAAGGTGCCCTTGCTTCAACTCCTAGCAGCCTTGCTTCCAGTCACAGGGCAGCATTAGGAATGCATCCTACTATTTGAAATAACTTTCATTAAAAAATAGTTTGTACTCTTTCTAATTTAATATAGTTGAGTCCGATAGGGAAGCTGGGCCAACAGTTTGACATCAAATAGAAGAAGGGCAGCTATTTATTTTATATTGTCCTCCTCTGGAGGGAAAAAATGAAAGAATTCCTGCTAAAACTTAATTTCAGTTAAATCTGGGCAGTGTGGGCTAATTTTGGATTATTGTATAATAATCCTGGACAAAATAAATACATTTTCAGCTTTAGGAAAGTTTTAAGCAATGAAAATCCAGGATGCAAATGTTATAAGTAAAATAGAACATTACTTTGCTTTTCTTGTTAAAGACTTAAGCTTAAGCTTCAGTAAGAGTTCCAGCCCTCAATAATGCTTCTCCTAACAGATCCTCTTTATCACATTGGAGGCAATTATCAAATATACCATCTTTTCTATTATGCATCCAATCTGTTTCTTTGAGCATGCTAGACTTAACTGCATTTATTATATATTTCCAGTATTGCCAAGATATGAGGCGACCATCCAAGCACCAGAGAAGCTCTCTCCTTTTGATGAGGAATTCGAATTAAGCATTTGTGCTAAGTAAGTTTTAAATTTCAAGGTTTAAATTGTATTTTGGAGAGTAAAATGTTTGCCTCAAAGACATTATAAAACTGGGATAGTGAAGCAAACTTTAAGAAATTGCTTCTCTTGCAGGGGAAGCCTTAAAAATCGCCTTAAAATTTACCATCCACTCAAAACAAACCTGTCAAAGAACTGAAAAACCCCACCATAGCTAACTAAAGGTTATAGACAAATGCTTGCATTAAAAGATATCAAAGTGATCAACATTGCTAAACAATTGAACGAGTACTAGTGAGCGCAATTACAACACATTTATGGACCCTTCTGGAGATATTCAGTGACCTGGAAGCATGTTTTCCTTCCTTGCATTGGCATGCAAGTAGTTTAGGAGAAATCTTACAAAAACAGCTTGCCATAGTATGTAGACGGGACAGTGCAGAAGTAAATGAGAGGCTGTTTCAATTTCTTGCAGCAAGCTGGAACAAAGACTTGTTATAATATTACTGAATCTTACTTTGAACAGTGAAGATGGCAAAGTAATGGACCAAGATTGTCTATGGGATGGGCAGAGAATGGACACTTGGCATGGAAGAACAACCCTGTTCCATGCAGAAACCAAGTTTTGTAAATGAACTTAGAATTAGTTTTGAACCTTCCCTACTTTCAGCTGATTTTGTGGGTTATGCTTTTCCTGTTAGGTATACCTATGGCCAACCTGTCCAGGGAGTAGCCCAGCTCAGAGTGTGCAGACAACATTATTACAATCCAAGATGTAATCAAGATTCAAATAGGATTTGTGAAACTGTTAGTGCACAGGTACATGTTTATTTCCTAAAACTTTTGTTATTCTTACTACTGTTGAGTGTATTGTGGAAAAAGAAAACATAAACTTGGCTGCTTTTTAGATTTCATCAGGATACATCTAGACTCATTTAAAAGAAAAAGTCTATTTTATCTTTTGAATTATAGTAATATCACTTATCTGCTTCAGATTCATAGGGTTTTGGGGGAGGTGGTTACTGAGATCATATTAGGAATAGTATACAGTTCCTTAGTAAAAATGGTTTTCCATAAGATATGTTGGCAAAAAGCAACTCACACAGAGCTGCCCAGGTGTGGCGATGGGGGTGGAGCCTACAGTCCCAGCAATTAAGTGGACAATTTGTCTTAGATTGAATAAAGTCTTTCATCCTAAATTAGGGCAAAAGCTTAGGAGTGTATGTTTGGATAAATTTGAAAGAAATATCTGAACATATCCTATGTATGTTTAACTGCAACTCTATACTTGCTTTCTAAAATAAAATTACATTGAATTCTATGGGATTTATTCTGGAATAAAAATGTATAAGGTAGTATTATGAAAGCAGGGAATAAATAATGTCAAGAAATAAAGTAATAAGACTGGCTTCACCTGTACTTTCTTAAAAACAACTTGCAACAGTTTCTAATGTACTTCATTAAACAGAAAGTAATTGACAAGGCAAAGGAGAATTTGTCATATTCTTTCAAAGAACAAGTGAAGCAGAATCAGCAGAATCAGATTTTAAAGCATTTTTTATTTATATATTCTATTTTGGTGCTGCGCAACTCCAGAACGACTCTGGGCAGTTCACAATATAAAATAGAATATAGATACAATAACATAAAGAAAAAAAATACAATAAGAAAAATAGCACAATGGCAGTTCAAATACTGTAACATATTATTTATTTTTTATTTTATTTATTCATCAAATTTATACGCCGCTCATCTGAAAAGGTGATAAAAACAATAAAAAATCTTTTATATATATATATATAATATAAAATAAAATACATTTTATATATATACAGTACACACACACACACACACATAAAACATCAACACCAAAACAAAAAACGTCAAGGATAGTTGCATGCGCCCTACTCCAAGATCTGGGAGACCAGCCACGTCTTTAAGGCCTTCCTGAATGCTATCAGAATGGGAGCTGTTCCAATCTCAAGGGGGACTTAATTCTAGAGGACAGATGCCATGACAAATATCTGAGTGTAGTTTTTCAATTGTAGAAGATAAATATTCTACAGGGGGTAATATTTTGGTTCAAAATAAGTCATTATTTAGGCACTCTGTTTTTTACTTTTATATGTTTAGCATTATTCAGAAATGTGTCACATGCATTATTTACTTCATGATTCTTTGGCATTACCCTGTTTAAAATCTGTTCTTTTAATTCCTAATTACCTTTCAGCTGGGAAAAAATGGCTGCGTTTCCAAGATAATTAGCACCAAAGTCTTCCGTCTTTACGCAGGTTTAGGTGAAAATCGTTATTTCTTTCTGTCACTTCATGTAGAGGGAACTGTCACAGAAAATGGAACAGGTAATTTTATATTATTTTGATCATTTTAGATAATAGAACAGTGAAATTAATAATACCGCATTATTAATATGGTTAACCAAATAGGATTAGGAGACTGAGCTAAGATAATGCTCTCTCAGGATTAAAAAGAGATTAATAATAATGTATTAAATTTATATGCCACCCAACTCCCAGTGACTCTGGACATTTTGGAAGGTTGGTACTCAAGTGCTTTTTGTACAAATTTGTGTGTGTTTATGTGTGTTGATGTTTGATTCTTTCATAGGCATCCAGATTTCAAGGTCTACCTACATTTCTATCTACCAAGCAAGGAAAACCATCATGTTTGAGAACATAGATTCATACTATAGACGTGGACTCCCTTACTCTGGACAGGTAGGAACAATAGCTTTATAGATTGTTAAAGAATTTTATTTGGAAGATTGTCATAAGGCTCACTTATGTAAATCCCCTATTACAGGAGTTGTATTGGCTGCTGTGTAGCTTCAAGGTGCTGGTTGTCATCTTTAAAGCCCTACATAGTTCAGGGTCTGGATATCTCCATGGCGGCCTTTCCCAAATTTAAACTATGCAAATGTAGTTTTGAGGAGCCATACTTTATCAGAGACTTAAGTGATTCAGAGAATTAAATAGGAATGATGATGAGTGAACAGTGAAAGAATGAAGAGGTCAACAGTTGACTGAAGAGAGTTTTGATGCTCTGGTGGTAATGTTCAGTGTGCTAAGTGACTCAGAAGTCACTCTGAATTATTGTTCAAGGAATAGGTAATTCTTCCATTATCATCACCTGTATTTTGAGACTCATTGCAGACACCACTGCAGCCATTTAGGTAAACGGGTTGCAGCCATTTTGTGAGAGCTTTTATAATAGGGTTTCAAAGTTCTAAATGTACTTCTGGTTCAAAAATATTCCCAGCCTTGTATTATGCAGTATCTCAGAATGTTTCTTGAATATTTTAGTGTTATTTTTTGCTTCTCTCTCCTGCAGATCAGGCTGAGAGATGAGGATCACAAACCACTCGCCAATGGTCTTATCTTTTTAGAATTCAATGGGGAGACTGTGGCTAACTACACCACAGACATAAATGGTACTGCTCAATTTTCCATTGAAACTTCCAACCTCTTTGAGCCTCGCTATAAATTGAGAGTAAGTCATTAACCACTTCCAGACAGTAGCTTTTCTGTACTACTTTGTATGCATTCTTGTTGATAATACATTGTGTTGGGAATTATCAGAAAACAAAAAAGTTAGTGTGGCAGACACCGTTGAAAATTGGGGTGTGGGGGGAGGAGCACCCATTGAGGAATTGCTCTTTCTTGAGAGCTAAGCTATTCAGGCCTATGTGCTCACTGCTGCTTCATTGTTGTTTCTCCACACAAATTAAATTGCAACCATATCTCTAGAAAATCAGGGGGATTGAGAACCATGACAAGAGAACGTATTTTTCCCCTAAATATCCAGTTAGATAGTTTAAATATGCAAATGATATATTTTGCTTTCTTTTCAACCTTCCAGGCTTTCTATCAATCGGATCAATGCACTGACTATGGCTGGCTGGATGCTTACCAGCCAGAAGTAGTTTACTACATTCAGCGCTTTTTCTCCCGAAGTGGTAGTTTTGTGAAGATAGAACCGGTTTTGGAGGAATTGCCATGTGGCAAGCAAAAATCAGTCACTGTTCATTATATTCTGAATAAAGAACAATATAAAGATATCCAGACCACTAGCGTTAACTTCTATGCTATTGTAAGTACAAGAAAGCAATTGTTTCTTTACTGCCTTTTAATCCTTAATTGAAGATTGAATAAAGGAACAAATTGCCTGTTCGCTAACAAAAACAGATAGCCCTCCAGTAAAGGTTGGGAGTTGGGATAGTGTCCCTGAATAGATTTATTTATTTATTTAGCAAGCAAAATTATGCTGCATTTTGACCCAGGGATAAAATAAACAGGACAAGATAAGAATGCTGAAGTTCCCATATCATCAAGTACTGTATTATCTCTATCGGTTAACCAATGATCTCAATCAAGAGAAGGCATTGGATGCCTGTTATCAGCCTGAGAAGCTAGATACAAATATTCTTTATTCCCTGCCAGGTGGAATGGCAACCAAAAGGAAATTATAGTAAGAAACAGAACTGAGCTTAGTTAAAAGAGCAAAAATAAGATCTTCATTGCCCTGAAGCATCTGCAAGTTGTATAACACAACTAGTGCATTAAAGACACAATCATTAGAAATGGGGCCTGTTGTGGAAGGAATATGGATATGGATGAAGTACTGTAAGAAAGATATGAATAGATGTGAAGCAGAATCTTTGATAATTCCTAGAAGAATCCTCAGTTGCAAGATCTCTAATTGGGGATAAATGCATCTCTGGCTCACATTCTGCATCTAAATATATCCAATAATCATAATGACTTTATTATTATGAATGCACATCTCATCTAGAATCAGATAATGCATATGGAGCATTTTAAGCAACAAACAAATCATTTAATTTTTAGCAATCTCATTTTTCTATTTATTTTTATACACAGCTAGTGACCAAGGGCAAAATAGTTGATGGTGGTAAACAAGAAGTCAGTATTAGGGGTAAGTAATCCAATTTTGCTATTAGAAAGTAGAGAAACAAATGTACAGATGGTTAAATACCACCTTACATAAAAAAGAATTCTTAAAATTTGTGCACTCTTTTCTACCGTTTTCATTATTCCTAATAAAGATTTGAGGCATTTATGGATTTTGAATTACCATTGTTTTGGAGGGCACGAAAAGCACCAGGCCTTTAGATTGACTTGTAATATGACCTTTTTTTCTTTCACATTCATGACACAAGTCAAGGTAAGCATCATATCAGATCATCATGCAGCTTGGTTATTTTTAAAATGCAATTTCAGGGGAAAATTTAAAATGCTCATCAATGGATGAAGCATCTTACAACATATCTATGACATGGAAGGCAGCATTTCTCAACATGAGAAAATTTTGCTGTGGAATAATAAAGATTTATGAAAGAGAAACCCATTTTCAGTTATCTTGGTTCTGTTTTACAGAAATAGGGCAGTAGAACTGCTTTGCTAGTAATTTTAGCTTCTCTTGATGTAGCCTCATGATAATTTAATGTTCTTTTTCACAGCTGGACAATATAGTACGTTCTCTGTTTCACTGAACATCACTCAGAATCTAGCCCCAAGAACAAGGCTGCTCGTTTATTCTGTGCAACCTTATGGTGACATTATTGCTGACAGTATTTCTCTGGAAGTTGAAAAGTGCTTCAGAAACAAGGTGAGAAATTTTTGTTCATCTCTCTCTGATTAGCAGGGATCAGTAGCCTTTCAAACAGCAGGCACCACTGCATGATTTTATGTAATGTAGTGGATGTCAAAATATAAACATGTTTTTTTTTAAGCAGATTTAATGAGAACTCATATGAGAATAAAGATTTTGTAAGATTTTGACCATTTCAGTTTTAATGAAATATTTGGGGTACTTGGGGTACTGCAAAGCTGACCCAAGGGTTGTTTCCCAATAGTGAGGAACACACACAGAATACTAATTATTTCTTGAAACTTAAATAAACAATAGTGATCAAGAAGATATGGGCATATAGTCTCAACTTTTAAAATGCTGAAGGGGAAATCATCCATAAATACTATTCCTTTTATTCTACATTGTCAGCAGAATTCTTACAAGTTTTACAAAGTTGCTGGCAGCAAATAGCTGAGCTGCTGTAGTGTCACACAGTAGGAGGAGAGGCATAACGGCCTAGGGAAGAAAGTACTGAGGCATACAATAGAAGAGGGCAGTGGATGGAGAAAACCACAAGGAAAGACAAGCAGGAAAGTTTAGGGGAAGAAGTTGGGAAGAGGGAGAGGCCTAGAAAAATATTGAGAGGTCAAAAAGGATTTTGGAAGAGCTGAGATCAGAACTCAACTTAGGAGAGAATGTCCCATTAGAGTTCCCTATAAGCAATGGCAGTTCCAGTAGTCCCGGTTGCGGTTATTAGGCAAGGATCTCATGCTTCTTCTACCCTGTGCAAACTGCCAGCTCCATCCCACTGCTGCCTCCCCAGCCGGGCCCAGCGAGCTCCCTTCAGCAGATGAGGCTCCACTGCTCTGCCATGCTTGCCGCTGGTTCAGTTCCCCCCATCTGCCTATCTCCCCCCCATCTCTGCCGTTTTCACCGCTCTGCTGCTGCCTACCCCTGCCACCCCCTGCTGCCCCCAGCTGACCTGTACCATCTTCCTCCTCCTGCTGCTGGCTCAGAATCCAGGTGTTGGATATACTAACCTATGGAAATGTTAGTACTGTGCAGGTGTTATATTTATTTCATAACAGTTGCCATTTCCTGAATTGAGACAGAAGGAAAATAGCACACAGCTGGTAACTAACTTTCAGTCCTCTCAAGCTAGTATACCTGAGTTTGGGATTGTATCTTGAGGAATGTGTCCTTCTGATCCTAGGTGAGCCTGCAGTTCTCAGAAAAGCAAGCACTACCAGCTTCTGAGATCACCCTTCATCTTAGTGCTGAGGCCACTTCCTTCTGTGCTGTGCGGGCTGTGGACAAGAGTGTCCTGCTGCTGAGTCCGAGAATAGATTTGTCTCCTGAGAATGTAAGCTTTAATCTTTCTCTTTTGAGTCAAAAACTGCCTTCAGTAGAACGATCTCTGAGGGAACTGGGAGTATTTCTCTACCATTGTGTGCTCCAAAATGAAGACTGGAGGCTGATCAGGAAAGGTTGGATATGGGCTCAAGATAGTTTATTATATCATATAGACTGCTGAAGTGAGAAACTCAGTGGAATGTACTTTCCTAATGTGATGTACATAAGATTATGGATGATGAGAAAGTACATAAGGGAACTTTGAAGAATGTTGCAAGTTACAGGTCCTTGATATGCATCATCTTTACAGTTCTGACTAAGTAATTCCTAATTTTTTCAGTCTGAGCTCCTCAAGTTTTATTTAGTTTTTATCATATACCTATATTATCTTTTTTTAAAAAATTTCTTCCCATACTGGAATCAACTTTTACGTTGCTTTGCATTATGTCATTGAGTTGTCTTCTTATAGATTTAAGTAATAATATGAATGCTCAGCATAATGAAATAATATTCTTTACCGTGTTATAGATTGTTTCAGGCGTGTTCTTAAAATAAAAGAGCCATGCAAATAAAAGTAGGGGGAATCTACAGATAAGCCTAAAATTCTCCATTCCCAGTCAGAGAAATACACGCCTCTCTTCGAGAGCAACCAGTATACTCCATATTAGGAAATTTTCCTAAAATTTATAAAAACTTTTTTCTGATACTTTGTCTCAGTTCTAAATCATCACTAAAACACTTCATTTAGGCATCGTCAGCATTTTCCTACTTCCCTTAACGCAATAATCTCTGTGTTGATCTTTGCTTGTGCTGTATGTTTTTCCAAGTCATTGTTTCCAGTTAAATGCACCCCTTCTTTCCCACCAGGTATACAACCGGATGCCTTACCTAGACCTCTTTGGTTATTATCATAATGGGCTGAACCTTGATGATGGTCCTAAAGAGCCATGTATTGAGATGCATAACACCTTTTATAACGGCTTGTACTATATGCCTGTAAATGTTACCAATGATGGAAACGTCCATGATATTTTTCAGGTAGGTATGAGAGAAAGAGAGAAAAAAACACCCTTTTGTTAGATTTGGAATAAATGTTTTCTGTGTCTGTTTAGTGACAACCTGTTTATCACCAGCAGTTTGCTGAAAACCTAGAAAACCACAACCAATTTGCTTTCCAATTTTTGGTCATTTCCTTGTCATCGGCCAATGAATCACAGCTAAGCAGAAGAAGTTCTACGTTCTGTTAAAGACTTAAGGAGGAATGTGTTGCTCTGATTAAATATGAGGCTGATAGTGCAAGGACATCAGTCCCACAATTACCTGAGCAGTATGTAATATGAGAAATAGCTTTCACAAGGAAAAAGTGAAAGCTGTCCCACCCTCCTAAAAAGATTCCTACCAGAAGATTCATGTAGGCCCAGTTAATTAATGGAAAATTCCAGAAGGCTGCTACTATATGTTTGCTGCTCTGAGCAATAATGTATACAGCATGTAGTATGAAAAAAGGATAATATCTGTTCAGCCCTACTAAATTATTTCACTGGAAGAAGCTTTGCTGGATATTAGATTATATTATGATAGGGAAAATCCATTTTTGAGAAGTGTGGTATGTTTTGGTGATTAATGCAGGAACTAAGTAGCATTTATCTCTCCATTTTAAGAATATGGGTATCAAGGTTTTCACCGGTTCCAGCCTACAGAAACCTGTTGTATGTGTAAGTGACTTTGAGTGCAAGAAAATCTCCACCGATGATCATGATCCACGTGGTAAGTGTTAAAAGAAGGCTTAAGTGGAATTTTTACAATGAAGTGGTGATGGATTTCTTGCTCTAGCCTGCCCATGTTGATCTTTTTTCACTATAGCCGCCAGTCTGTTTATCCTTGAAATGAGGTAGGCCTTTTGATCATCTCCATTAGGTAGATCAGACACCAAGTTTGCCCTTTTCAAAAAGCTATTATATTAATCCAGCAAATAGCATGGATTTAAATTCTGTATAGTTTTGCAAAGATTGCAACTTATCACAAGAATTCAGTAAACAAAAATTACAGAAATAATTTAAGAAACAGATTACAAATCCTGAAATGTTGTTGCAGTTGGGATAATAACTTCTTTAATATCCTGATAAAAAGCTTTTCTTTTTATGAAGGTGTTTGGGCTGTGATTACTATGTGCCTGGTTCACCTCTTCCACCTAACTAGGCTGCACTTCAGATCTCTCTGTATCTGTGCTTTATATTGTTCCAGAAGACCTAAGTTGGATCTTCCCACCAGGCCATCTAATTATTGTGTTAGAGTAAAATGTGATGAGGACCATATTGAGGGAGAAGACAGGAAAGAGAGTTTTCTCCTTTGACAGATAGCAGATGTGAAGGGCCAAGTCCAAATAGCATTAGGCTGGGGCTGAACTGCTAAAGTTCTCCACATCTAGACCATGGCTCCAATCCAATTTGGCATCTTTTAAGCAGTTAATCCTAGAATTTCTCCTTTCGTTAAATCAATTTAAGTGGTCATCTGTTGCTGGATATTACATTTAAAGGCAAATCCCAGATCTGGAAAAGCTAATACAAGGGTTTCCATAGCGTTTAAGCATTCATGTTCTGTAAACCCTAGATATACTATGCTTATTTCAGCAGTGTTCTTGAATAAATCCTAACCATTTCCACTATAATTTCTATTCTTATGGCTAATTTCAAGTCTCTGTATTGCTTTTGTTTTCCAGTTGAAAAGGCTTTTAGTTCTGATGCCTTTGCCAACAGAGTGATCGAGACAGTGAGAACAAATTTTCCTGAAACCTGGATATGGGATATGGTTACAATCGAGTGAGTCTTTCTATAGTCCTTCTCTCTCAAAAGGAAGAAAGAGAACTATTGACCTTTATTTTCTAGTTTTATTTTTAGACATTTGAACAATTTGTTAAAAACCTTACCCCACAAGTAACTAGGTTTGAAAAATACTCTGCAATAAACTAAGAAGCTGGTGGCGGTGGCAGCAATAGCTTATAGGACAAATCTATGCAGGGGATAGTTATATATGGGGCTATATAATACAGTGGGGCTGATTCAATCCCAGGGTCCTTGAGGTAGAAATTATTGGGCCTTGGTTCACACAGCTGTGATATATTTGAGGGGGGATCTGCAGGACTCATTCACAAGTAATGCACAGGGCCTCCAGTCTAACAGTTTCCTAAGAAGGTTAAAGCCTTCTTAATAAAGACAGCTTAATATATAAAACCCAATAATTTGTTTGACAGAAAGGGGAAAAGAGACGAAGCAAAAGAAACATTCAAATAATAGATTTTTTTTCTATGACGCTTTTCCTCCTAGAGAAAAAGATAGTAGTTGAAAAAAATAATAAAAACTGTAAACCATCAAAATAAAACCAACAGCACTTTAATGTTTGTTTTTTTAAGTATTGTTGGTTTCATTTTGATGGTTTTCATCAGTTTGTTTGTTTGTTTTTAAAAGAAAAACAAAATAGTCAGAATGACAGTTTTTAATTATCCAAGTCCAATGTCATCAACTTAAATTGGACCAGTAGTGTATAGGCAACCAACACAGTGGTTTCAGAACTAGTTTTAAAAGTGGTCCCACTTACTGCCCCCTTTAAGCAATTGGAAAACTGTGTTTTAGATAATATTCATAGGTAGCCTCCTATAGCATTCATTGCAGTAAACCTAAGCCATGTATGGCCATAGCTGGCATACTGGATGTAGGCCACCTTTGCCTTTAGTGACAGACTGGAGTCAAAGAAAGCCACCACACTAAGTACCATTCCTTTGGAGGGAATTTTACTTTATCCAGTATAGCTCCTGTTCCTAGTTCCTTGGACCTGAGTGAGCACCACCTATCTACAATATCTTTCTTACATGGATTCAGTTTGAATTTACTGGCCCTCATTTAATAAACAATCTTAAGTCTCTAAATAAGAACTTGGGTGAGGGAATGGGGAAGGATAGTGTCCAATAATAATTTGGATACTCACCTGTCCTTGGGTGTACAACTGAGTTTGGAGGTGGCTATAGAGTTCCACTGTTGCCATGTGTTGCATGGAGGGAAGCAGAAATTCTGCTCTCTCTTAACTATTTTTCTCCCTCTTCCTGAGAGATTATTCAGTGTTTTTTTTGAGTCTCTTTCAGTCACTTCCCTCAGAATTTGTCCCTGTCTCTATCTCAGTTTCCTCAGAATCCACCCCACAGATTCTCTCCAATCTCAGAGCTGTTTGTTTCCACACCTAAGATGCCTTCTCTGGGTGAAAATGAGGCACTCCAAGCGTTTCATTGGGGGACTGCACTGTGCAAGGTTACAGAGATAGTACTAAGAAACTTGAACAGCAAATAACTCCAGAATATTTCTACAGTTTTCTCCTTTTATATTTCAGTACTACTGGGAAAACTAATCTCTTATACACTGTGCCTGATACCATCACTGAATGGATAGCCAACGCATTCTGTGTTGAAAATGATGCTGGGTTTGGCATCTCAAGGCCTGCCTCCCTGACAGCTTTTCAGCCATTCTTTGTGGAAATTACTCTCCCCTACTCTGCTGTCCGAGGAGAAGAAATTATTCTTAAAGCCAACATCTTCAATCATCTGAACAGTTGCATTGAGGTACAGCTTGTTCTTTAAGTGCAGTTATAACTTAATACAGAATGAAAGCAACAATATCAAAACACACTAAGCTATACAAGAAAGATTGAAGAGGTTGAAGAAAAGTTAAATTAATCAATTAGCATGCTCTATGAATGCATGCTCTAGGTTAAGCATGTTGTGTGAACATAGTCAAAATTTACATCATAACAAGGGTGAGAGCATAGATATATAATAAAGAACCTATTAGCAGTGATAAGCAAAATTTAAGAAGCCTAAGAGGGTATTCTTGTTATTTATTTATTTATTTATATTTATACATCACATTTATATAGCCGCCCATCTCACAAAGCTACTCTGGGCGGTGTACACAAAGAGACAAAAGTTCTACCTAATAGTACTAAGAGGAGGAGAAACTGAGAAGATGGTAAATGTTCTCTCAGCTCTTTCTCTAAGGTTTACAGTATGTGGTTCCTAAAAGGTTTCATTTGGCGCAATCTAACAATAGATTCTTAAACTAATCAATTTTTGATTAGTTTACAACCTATATACCGTATTTATCAGCGTATAACACACACTTTTTTCCCTAAAATTTGGGGCTGAAATCCTAGCTGCATGTTATATGCCAATATGCCCTGAGGCTTCTCACCTCAAGCGGCAGGGCTGGGAAAGCAAAACGCTGACAGCAGGGAGAGCATTTCTTTTTTGGCAGCCACTGCAACCCAGCACTGCTGCTCCAGATGGCTGCAAGGGGAGGTGCAGAGCCCGCAGCGCGCTGTGCAACGCCCCCCTGGCAACCCGCCGAGAGCTGCGCCCGACCCCTCTCCGATCGCCCCAGGACCAGCAAGCACAGAAGACGCAGTCTCTCCTCCAGCTCCCCGGGGCCTCACCCACTCCTCCCTCCTTCCTGTCAGGAGAAACTTTGGTGCAGAGGGGTGGCCCCCTTCCCCGAGGGCTCAACCACACCGTTGGGAGCATGGGAGAGTCCGGGGACCGTGTCAGAGCAAAGTGCAAAAAGCAGATCTGCAGGGCTCCTCAGTTTGCTAAAATGGGGTGGGCTAGGAGCCGTGCGCCACCACTTCCCCGGGCCTGCGACTTTGCAAACCAGCTGCTGTCCCAAGCGCGCTGTGCCTGGAGGAGGAAAAGTTAAGTGCCTGTGTGTGTGTGTGTGTGTGTGTGTCTCAGTCTCACCAAGAGCAGAGGGGTGTGTGCGTGCGCACGCGTTTATGTGGTTTTTATTCCTTCCCTATCAGTCAGTGATTTTGAGAGACTCGCAGAGGGCAGAGGAGACACGGGCTTTGAACATGAAAGCAAGGAGCTCCTGGGCAGAGCGGGGCACCTCCCGCTGCATCGAGCCTCTGACCCTATGGATCTGCTCTTTGCGCTTTGCTCTGACACACTGAGTGCTGGAGAACTAGGGTCCCTGGACTCTCCTATGCTCCCAACAGCATGGTGCAGCCTTCGGAGGAGCAGCCTTCGGAGGAGCGCCGATCCCCTCACCGGGATGATGCGGCACACAGCGCTCACCTCTCCAGACTGCACAGTCCCTCAGCCCAGGCAAAGTCAGAGGCTCAGTGTGGTGGGAGGTGCCCTGCTCTGCCCAGGAGCGTCTGGCTTTCCTGTTCAAAGCCCGTGTCTCCTCTGTTGTTGGTGAGACACACACACACACACATACACACACCCCCTTCTGCTCTCAGTGAGACCCACACAGACACACACACTGGCGCTTAACTCTTTCTTCTCCAGGCAGAGCGCGCTTGGGACAGCAGCTGGTTTGCAAAGTCGCAGGCCCAGAGAATTGGTGGCGCGCAGCTCCCTGCCCACCCCGTTTTAGCAAACCGCAGGAGCCCTGCGGATCTGCTCTTTGCGCTTTGCTCTGACACGGTCCCCAGACTCTCCCGTGCTCCCAACGGCATGGGGGAGGAGTGGGCAAGGCCACAGAAACTGGAGGAGAGGCTGCATCGTCCGCGCTCGCTGGTCCTGGGGCGATCCGAGAGGGGTCAGGCACAGCTCTCGGCAGGTGGCCAGGGGGGCATTGTGCAGCGCATCGTGGGCCCCGTGCCTCCCCCCGCGGCCATCTGGAGCGGCAACATTGGGTTGCGGCGGCTGCCAAAAAAGTAATGCTCTCCTGGCTGCTGGCGCAGGTGATGTTACTAAAGACTGCAAACAGAGGAGGCATGCCCTAATAATAAACTACTGTACCCCCCCCAATCCAGTCGGACCACCAGGGATTTTTAACCCCTACTGGTCCACCAGAGATCTTGCCTGCCTGCCTGCTGCAGACAGGTAAGCAGGAAGGGAGGGAATAAGTACCAATATGGTAAAAAACAGATTACC